GGAAGGAAGGAAGGAAGGAAATATAAGATAGCAAAACAAAAAGTAGGAAGTAAAAAAGACAAAAAGGAAAGAGGAAAAGATGAATGATTCTTAAGGAAAGAAAGTTTGAAAGAATAAATTCACTGAAAGAACAAAGGAATGAAAAAAGGAAAGAAGAGATAAAGAAAGGAAATTTTAAAAAATGGAACAAAGGAAGGAATAAGGGATGTGAGGGGAAATGAGTAAAACATTCAACTAAAAGAACTTTTACAATCATTTAGGAAAAATACCTTGAGAACTTCAAATTCAACTTCCTTATTCTTTACACGATATCCTGTAATTGCAGTCAAAATAGAATGGCTTAATATGCGTGGACATGTCAGTTTAATTAGTCTCATCCCTTGACTAATGAAGAGGAGGGACTTAAAAAAAACACTAAAAAGAACACTAATAAAAAAATAACAACACTAATTTATTTGCATCAGTGAGTCCAAAAGGAAATATTGAGGTTAGCCTTATCATGAATATCTCCTATAGGATCGAATTAAATTTTAGTTGGTTTTTGCGGAGGGACAAAAACCAGAGAACCCGGAAAAACCCTCTGAGCACAGCAGAGAACCAACAAACAACTCAATTTACATACAATACCGAGCTTGTCGGGACTCAAACCCAAGTCACGTTGGTTAGAGGCAAGCGCTCTCACTGCTAAACCACCCATGCTTCCCACTACTGATTCCTTCAGATTATCTGCATCATTATCATAATTATGATACATTGCCCTAGTCTTTTTTTTGCCTTTGTAAGAAGAGGATTCCTTCCCCTGAATATTATTTCTTTGTTTATCAGTAAGAGTTGAGGAGAAAGATTAGCCATGACAAAGTTCGGACTTACCAATCACAGATGGTACAAATCTACTGCAATGCCTGGAGAATGTAGCAATGGAATTTGCACCACAGTCGTGCAAGATAACAAAATCTCCTTTTTCAATCTGCAAAAAGATTATAGCAACACTCTTAGTAAGGACCATCATCACACAAGGTTTAGTATATGAAACTGTAGCATTGTATCAAGGCTTTCAAGAAAAAAAATCTATCAGAATTTTTATTAGTCTACGCAGCCTCTAATTTGGGAGTGAGCATTGCGTGAGGACATTAATAGGGACCTTAATAATGTCTCTTGGGAGCCCTTTACTTAAAACGAAAATCAGCAAAGATGAGCTTTTGGTGTAGCTGTTCTCTTTAGTAATATGTAAAAATAGGACATTTCACGTCTTCTTTCATCATAAGACAGCAATGATGCACAGTATTTCGTACATTACAACTAGTGTCTATTGGAATAGTGCTATTGAATAATGCTATTGTATGCTTGCTGTCGTCGTTGCTGTCCTGCAGCTTAAGGTCCCTCATAGCACCCACGTAGAGGACTAAATGTGTATTAGTATTTGATCTTTTTTTATCCATACATACCTGAGGTAGCATCACCTGTTTACTGACAACATCTCCAGCAAAACACAATGGACCAGCAATGTCATGAAGTATAGGCTAGAAATAAGAAACCAAAACAATCAATATTACTTGATCAAAATCCTTAGGGGTATTTAACTCTGTCTTAAAGTATCAGGGATACTTTTCCTATCTTTTAGGGGTTTAAATACAACCTCAACATTATTTTGGTATCTTTGGAAACACAGGTGGAATAGACTATAAATGCATCACCTCACACTGAAGTGTTTGTGGGTTAGATGTCTCTGAACTGTGATATAAACATGCTGGAAGCTTTTGAGCATAAGAAAAGCAAGCTTAGGAACACTAGGCATAGTGCAGCAGGTGTGTCTCTGACATCTGATGTGAACATGGTAGCCAGCCAATCAGCTCACACATTATATCTCAAATATTTTATCCAACCAATCAGCACATGCATTATATAAAATATATGTAGATACCTGTCCAGTTTTCTTGATTCCTTTTCCATCAAATACTTCAACCCTTCTCTACGAATATCAAAGGAAACACGCATGAATTTTCTAGAATATGATTCAAGCAGGTATGTTATATAAAATTTCCATGACACTAATTTCACGAAAATAACACTAATTTCGCGAAAATAAGTGACCTCCAATTATTAATAAAAATATAAAGACTTAATGACCATTAAAAAGCAGACCAGAGATATAATTTATATAAAATAAAATAAAATTCCAATTTATTTCCATACAAAACTTGTAATGAAGCAATTAAAAAAAGTTTATGAAACATATTTTTTTGTTTACAACGGAGGCTTTAATACTTATCTGCATATGATTAAGACATTTATCCAAAGGGTCTATGGATTAATCAATGTGACGTCAATGTAATAGGTCAGGAAGAACAGCCTAAGGGGTGTTTCATTGGACAAATTCTAATACATATTGGCTACAGATTGTTCATTGACTAGCCATTATCTTTTGATGTTATTTTAATATAGTATTTCTTGATTAAGAAATAATTAAAACTTACATGATATTTCTTAACAGTAGGGTTGTAGCATGTCCTCATGCACATATCCTATGTAAATGAAGAATTGAGAGAATGAACAAATAAATGCAGGAATTAATGGAAGAATTAATGGCCATACAGACCAAGAAATACACAAAATCAAAATATGGTGATCAATTTGAATAGCTATTGTTCTGGACTGACTAGCCTTGTCTTCACGTGGAAACACGAATTTAAAACGTATTCACATTTACCAGTCAATTCAAATTGATCACCATTTAATTTAGATATTCGCAATAACGATCCTATGATCCTAGAAATATTTCAAGAATGTTTATTAGCCAATCAGAAGCGTTATCGTTATCTTTCCTTTATCTTTTGGTTAGAAAGTCAATTCTGATTGGCCAAAGAAGAATAGAACATTCTTAGAATATTTCTAGGTGCCCACGGTTTTTTGGTTAGCACTCTAAAATATTTGAATATTTGATACGTACTGCCCCAACATGAATCAAAGCTATTGTGTGGTCCTTATCAGGTACTTTCTTGGTGTATTCCACCTTACTAGCAATCCACCCAGCCTAAAAAACAAAATCACATACATCACATACAAAATCTTCAATTGATTTTAGAAGTTAAGGCATATATCATTCAGCAAGATAAGTGAGTGCCGCTTTGGCCCACTTTCCCTAACATTGCTTTGATTTTAGACCTCTGACTGAGGGCTGCAATCACTAACAAACTCAATCACACATGCATTTACAGCTAATTGACCTTTTTGGCGCTAGCTGTCACATGGTATAAATCGTATTGGATTGTGTTACAGTCACCAAAAACATCAAATATCGTTCTCTGATTTCGCAGCCATGACAGGAGGCACAACAATGGATCGAGTATTTCTCCCCTAGAAAACTGAACTCTTCCTCGTGTGAATCAGATTAGACCAGATTCAATCATTCCTGCCTTCTTTCATGGCTGCCATCACATGATGGTGCAAAGCCTCTATTGACTCATAGGCCATGAGGGCGAGAGGACTAATTGTTTTAGTCAAATCCAACTAGTTGGTCAAATATATAGATGCAAACAAGTTTATTGTCTTGGATTTCAAAGCTTTTCGCTTCTTGTATGATATAACTTATAGCCTAGTAGTAGTTCATCCAATCAGAACGCAGCACTGATGATAGACCACTAGTAGGATTTGACTAAAGTGCTGTTATGAAATGTCTCCTCTCTTACTATTTGGGAATATTTTCCCTTTGAAATAATCAACTATCAAATATAAAGCAAACCTTTGCATTTAGTGATTGCCCAAATTCTGTGATGAGTTTCTTGAATACTCCTCTTTCTGGGAATATTTCAGGAACAGTTTTCTGTTGATTTTCATATTAATTAAAGATCATTAGGAAAAATAAGCTTAGGGAAAAAGGCAATAATAAAGAAATGTCAGTCTCAAATGACTGACTTCACTCACTTGATCACTTAACCGCCATTTGCATTACTACGCGGCTACACCTGACAAAAATCGAGATGTGCACTTTGCAATAGACTGCCGTCAATCAAACACGTTGACATTATTTACACTTGTGTGTGATTCAAAAGGCGCCAAGACTTGTCAATTGTTTACAAGTATTATTAGCCACACTCACCAGGCCTATCCGGGCCGATCCAAACGCGTGTAAATGACATCAAAATATATGATTGACGGCAGTCTATTGCAAAGTGCACGTCATGATTTTTGTCTGGGGTGGCCACAAAGCAATGCAAATGGTGGTAATAACTAAATTAATCAATCAATAGAGCTTTATCATGCAGCAGCGATTGTTATTCTCAGGAGAATTAAAGCCTTTGTTTTTATCAGTTCAACTCATCCTGAAGTGCTTAAATGCTAGGCTAGATGAACAAAAATCTTTTGTTTCAGCTAACATTGTTGCTGTGTGAAAAGGTCTGTTCACCAGATTTTCTCTCCCACTTCAGAATTCACCTATATAATATTTATCTCAATTTACTCAATCACTGACCCATTCACTCACTTTTAACATCTTCACCTTGGGTGTAATGTTTTTTTTTATTTCAGACCACATGCCATTCCCTTGAGTATCATTTCTTTGTTTAACGGTTGTACACGAGAAAACACATGAATATGGATACAACCCAGACAAAGAATCTTATTATCAAGAGAATGACACATGGCCTGAAATGGGAAAACATTACCCATTCTAGTACCCAGACCCTTCTCAACAAAAAATCAAAGGCTCTGGTAACACACCAACCAGAAGACCCAGATTCTAGGTCGTTAGATATGCACATGCTCCAAATATTCTGGTATAAATTCAAATCTTTTTTTTTTCAAACGGTCAATTTGTGTTACCAGAGCCTTCAATTTTTTATTAAAAAGCTGAGAAGGCTTTGGGTATGAGAATGAACATTACCAAGCTATCAAAGTCTGTTGTATTAATTATTTTTTGTTCAGCTAACCTTGAGAGAGTTAGCATAATCTTGATAAGATGGTGAAATACTGTCATCAACTCTGTTGACCTGACAAAAACATATTAAGGTTAACTACAGTATAATAACAAAATGAGAAAAAATATAAGATAAATTTCTCTTTTTCTGTAAGAGCAAGAACGAAAGCTAGGACAAACTGTAGGAAAACCAAATAATGAATTAAACTTACTCCCATTCCTCCTCCAATGTCAATGGTATGAATCTGACTGAATCCAACTCTTTTATTGATATCCTAAACACAGAGGCTAATGGTCAGCATAATTTACAAAGCAGCTCTATTTTGAGACTGACATTTATTATTGCAACTCATGGCATTAACTTTAAATGAAGTGACCGCGAGCATCTAATAACTTGAGGAGAAACAAAATGAACATCATAACTGAAAATTCAGTTAAACTACATTCTCTTGGAGTGTTTGCTCTTCGACAGGGACCCTGAGTAACAAATGCAAGAAAAAATAGATCTTTGGACTGAAATTTAACTATTTATTGCAGGATCATTGTCAGAGATATCAGCTCAAATATCAAGATTTTTCTAGCATTTTTCAAACTGAATATTGGTTACGACGCATTTAATCAGACTGATAATCTTTTTCTTTTTCTTAAATGAGGTGAGATGGTCATTTTAAATTTTATGTGGTCTGTCAGTGACTAAACCAAGCATCAATACTTGGTTAAGTACTGGTATTGATACTTCATTCATGCATTTAATACTGTGTAATGTAGATAATACCTTAGCAAAATCAACAGCATGCTTGGCACCTTCACTAAGTCCATCCACACCATAGCTCTAGAAATAGAATAAGTTACAGCAATTCAATAAACATTTAATGCTTGAAACCTAACTTCTTAATTTTTGAACAACTTTCCACAGGGACGGCAGAGCATGGGAGGTTAACAGGCTATAGCATCGCCAATAATTTTGTTACCATTTTTTATTCATTCACTTATTTAATATATACTAACTACTAACCTGAGAACCGATGTGAACATGTACGCATGTCAGCCATGGTCTTTCAACAAACCAACTAATTACTTCCTCTCTAGTAGATTCTGTGATCTGTCAAGATTAAGAATGCATTAATAATATGAATGGTTTTAGGAAAACATGTTTAGGTTATTAACTTTGCGTTCCTCCAATCAGACTAAATAAGTAATATATATGATATGAGTGGCTGTGTTGTATATGATATACATTAACTCAAGCCGTAAGTGAGAGGCTTTATTCCTATACAACACAGACACACATATTGGATATTACTTAAATATATGACTCTTCATGGTTATGATTTCTGGTGTGTTGTTCTCATGAATTATTATATGTTCATTGGATAGCATGGGTGGCGTTCGCGGCTAACACGTCGTCTTTCACTGCTGTGAGTCCAACGGGTCGGGTCGCTAGTTCGAGCCCTGCAGTCCCCACATGTTAATTGAGTTTGTTTGATGTGTTGTTCTCTCCTATGCTACAAGGGTTTTCTCCGGGTTCTCTGGTTTCCTCCCTCTGTAAAAATCAACATGTGAGTTAGGCGCTGCGTGCATGGAACATTTAATATAGTCATGGTAGTGCGTATGAGCAAAAAGTCTCCCCAATTAGTGCAAAAGCACTAGAACGACTAGACACTTAAATATAAGTGATGTATTTTATTTATTTAATTATTAATGAGTTTTTTTGAGGGATATAAGGGAAGTGAGTGGTGAATTTACTTACTGGCACTGCAAACTTTGAGTCTGGCAATGAAACACTGAAAAGGATAAGAGGAAAAACAATTTACTATACAATAGCTGTAAGAGTTAAACTATATTATGCAAACTTATACAGTATGTCATCACAATGTACTGAAATTGTTCATGAAGTAATATAATGTTAGCAGTTATGAGAAACATACCTCAAAGCTTTGATATCACCAGCATCCATGACTGGGTTTATTCTTAATCCAATGGTTCCCTTGGACTCACTAACAACAAATCATTAATATTAATAATAACAAAACGATACTAATATACACATTTAATTCATTAGCAGTTACTGACTCTCAAAAATACTGTCTGTTAGCTTATAAAAAGTGCCTTAGGTCCATACCATACAATGATCTACAATGATTAGGTTAGACTCTGAATCGTTTTGGAGCAACTGCCGATAATTTAGATAGAAAACTCATTAGTGGATATTGCTAGTGAATAAAGAAATAAAAGCTGGCAGTATTTGATAATACATTTGCCTGTTATGTCTGGGGTCTCAGATTCGATTCTTGGACTCTGCATTACGTGAGAAGAATTTTTTAGGTTAATACCTAACCAGCTGGGCAGTGAATGCTGTGCACAAAGCATGAGTGGACAAAATGACCCGCCCTAAGCATTTTTGGAATGAATCAAATGTGGTGGTATAGTGAAAATATCTTTATTCTTCTTTTCCATATTTTTTTGAATGAAGCAAATGTGGTGCTATATTAGTGAAATTGTCTTTATTCTTCTTTTTCATATTCCTGCTTCTTGTAGGCATGTATATTATATTTTAGTCAAAAGAAAACAGAAAAATTGGGTTACAGTAGCTTTTTAATAAGGGCTGGCAGCCAAACATTTAAACCTGCTGTGATTGGCTGAAGTAAAATTCACCACTCAGCTGGAAGTCATGTGAAGGATTATCTACTTCAGTTTCTTTTCTTCTAGTTCTCTGGTGTTTCTCCCCCCTAGAAACCTAATGTAATGAGCTAAATTCTTATTCGATCTGTGGCTTAGCCATACTCTGAAGGTTGTTTCAGTCTAAAAAATTAAAATTAAACCAACTTTGTTTATGGCGAGTTCATATAAAATACCCGATGAGATTTGCCAGCTACTGGCTTCTATTCTAAACCTTTCACATACACACAGATAGAACATAAATTTATATAACCAGCAACCAACAGTTGATCTTACAATCTTACCTTTGACCTTTCATCATCTCAGTCAAAACCTGTAGCTCTTGAAAGTTATCAACATTCAAATGAATTCCCTTCTCCAAAACAAATTCTAAAAACAAATAGATTATTTAAATTTAATGACAATATCTATTTTTATTATAGTTAGGATGGTACGTGCACACTGACTGGTCGAAAACTGTGCTTCATTAGTGAATGGAGCACGGTGCTGCAAAAAGTTTTCTCTTATTTTATTTCCCTTGAGGTTTACATAAACATTCCTGGAGATGTTTTTTTTTACTCAAGACTTCGGCAAACAAGCAAATATTTCTTACACAAATCGGGTAGTTTGCCGGTTTCATTGTAAGTCCTAACACTCTTGTTGTCACACAACAGTTACTCGTTTATGTCTAAAGTTTTCAGTGTTTCTCTACTTTGTTTGCCTTGAAATTCATATGACCCTTTTTTTCTTTACACGAGAACTATTTTTTCCCCCTTCTTACAGTATATTTTATTGTCTCACCCTTCATAGATAGGTTTTACAACGCATTTGATACATAGGCGAACTTCAATATGCAAAACTTATACATAGGCGAACTTCAGTAGGTGAAACTATGCATAGGCAATACTATTGGATACCCTTTGCTTATCCTACAAAAATGCTCTAGCCCAAAGCACTAATACAGTCAAAGTACAGTCATACTCGTCTGAGAGTTGTCACAATCGCAAAATCTGTTTTGCTTAATTTACTCACTTAATTCACAATCAGTCTTGACTGGTGAGTCATAGACTATGTTCTCTGGTGGCATTCCTGCTTCCAAAGCATTTAACACTTCACCAATGGATGCACACTCAGCACCACAACCCTAAATATAACAACAATTTATTAAAAAATGCTCTCAATAGCAATCTGGAAATTATAGCATTTGCATGCTGTAAATGACAAAGTAGGTTTTGGTGGACAGCACTGAAAGTTTTTCAATGACGTTTTTGGAAAGAGACATGCCAATAGTTCCCTTCACAGTTGCAGGCGCCATCTTGAAAGGTATCCGTGCCTTTGCATCAAAGCAAGACGAAGGGTGAGCTTGCAATGATAGAGACGTGTGAATATTGTCCAAGGTGGTAAAAAAAGGTCTCTATCATTACAAGCTCACTGTTTGTCTTGCTTGGATGCAAAGGCACGGCTACCTTTCAAGATGGCGCAGGGAACTGCGAAGGGGACTATTGTTTTCCAACCTCAATTTCCAGTTTTTCTGGGTAAATAGTAAGCACCACAGTGAGTGATTAAACGGACCTGTCAGCTTACCTTTTCAACTAGAATTTTGACCATAGCATGAACTGGATTAGCTTTGATGGCCATTGCATGTAAAGAACCTATAAAGAAAAAATTATGTGGATAATGAGAATACTTCATGGTAATGATAATAAGCTGAATGGTTTGGAAATCTACATGTATTGTTCTAGGTTTTTGTTTGACACATTTTTGAAGAGTAACACAAAACCACAATTTACTTTTCTTCAAATAAAAAAATCTTTGAACACACTGTCCACAGTTGTGCAAGAGAAAGAAACATTTTTATGACATCTTGTTGGATCGTGTGAGATACCAACTCACTTTGTAGCACACTCATCATGGTATTTTTGGCCAGCTGTTTATCGTGAAATGCTAGCATAAGCATAAATTAGCAATCAAAACAACCTGGAAGATAATTTATTTAAAATATTTGCTATGGGAAACCAAAATATTGTCACTTAATTTTGTTTCATTTTTTCTTTTAATGATGTTTTGTCCAGGTCAGTCAAAAAAAAGCTTTTTCTTCAGTTAGTATTGGAAAATTACAATTATAAAAGTAGATTTTAATACATGAATAAATGATATTCATCTGGCAATCATTCACAGACTTACTATAAAGCTATAAAGGCAAAGAACAGAATGCAAATACAAAAAAAACCCCACTATAATGAAACACTATAAGTACGAGATCTATCAATCAATAATTTGAATTATTCTGTTTTCAAGAATTGAAATATTTACTGGATTTGCATATTTAAACCAAATACGTTTTGAAAATGGTATCCAGAACTTACAGAGTTAACAGAGTAACTTATCCTTCTGCTGTGATGCCAAAATCTTTTTCGAAATTGTAGATTTGATATGAAGCTACAGTATTATCAGCTTGATAAAGCACAGCTTAATAAAGCACAGTTTTCTACCAATCAGTACACGCATACTATCCTAACTATATGATAACAAAAAATAAAGGTAGGTCTTCAAGCTATTAAATTTTGAGGTAATCGCCAAAATGTCCAAACAAAAAACCAAAATGCGATGTTTTCAGATTTTAGCTTTGAAAACTTATTCTTAAACACTATAAAATGAGCAATTTGCAATATGGACTGAGACCTGTAAAATAATTTGCATCAGTGTAATGGCCGCAAGCTTCATCTTTGAAAATTGATATCTTCTCAATGAATTTAGTGACCCCAGGCCCCCAGTGTTCTTGCCAGGCCGCGCCATTGCAGAAATCACGCATAAAAAACAGGAATGGCGCACAAATTTCAACTCTATGCGCCCCCAAGAGCGCATGATTTATCCAAAGAATACTTCCTGATAATTTTCAAAGATTTAGAGTACTTTTGAAATAATAAACGTCACATTATATTGTCAATAAACAAGGTGAAAGTCCACAAGCAACGACACGAATCGAACATAGCTGCGATCTTGTATTTTACTTGCCAAGAGCATTGGGACTAGTCTATGTTAACTGGCCTTGTTTATTGGAGGCTCAAGTATGGCTGCCCAGTGCAAGTTTATTGTATTATCATTGCTGGGATACCTGTGGTATACCAGCTATAAAATGCCTTTGTTTTTTTGTATTTTTTTTTTCTCCAAGACAAAATGGCAAAGTTGCGCAATAGTACCCATAGATGGATTTAAATGACGTAAACTATTACCCAGAAGACCTTTGCGGGTTTCTGCTATAGGTTTACCGTCTATATGCTGACTAATTGGCAACTGCCTTGATGTTAATCAATGTCAATATTGCGAAGTCATTAGGAGGGGGCGGAGATAGATTATCACATGACACAATTAAAGTCTACGCATGCTCTATTTTGCTGACTGCTGTTATTCAAGACTGAGTCGGATTAGAAATTCTAATTTCTTTGTAAAAAAGAAAAGGTGACAAGGATTTCCAAGAAATATTAATATAATGGCCCGTAGCTTATTTTTACGAACTACAACATGCTTTGGTTCAGCACTGAAAGCAGTATTCTCTGTAACCGAAGATCAGTGCTAAGGAAGGAAAACAGCGCTTCAAAAACAAGCCAAGGTTAAAGAATTATGCCTTCTTGATCTAAACAAACCGAGCATATTTCACTCTACTTTCGTACTATTTTTGCAGATTCCTCAAGCTGATTGTCAAGTTATATGAAATGTTTTGGCTCCAAAGACTACTACGAATAAACTTAAAGTACAGAGAAGTTTATTCAGCCTTTTAATATTTTGTTTTTAAATATGAAGTAATAAGAATAATTTAAATAAACGAATATATTTCGCCTATCTTCTTGACCTTAAGTCATTCAACTTCTAGCTCGTTAAACTTTAAGAATATGTCCATTCGGATTTAGGAATATCTGTGAACATAAAAAACTTTAAAATTAAAGCAACTGTGAGGAAAATCTTTGATTTTTACTGTCTTAAGTAAAGAATTTCGATTCACAAATAACGAGTTAGAAAATTCCCGTGTGAGACACTCTTTGAAAAGCGCGTGACCACAGGCACGACTTAATTACGTATGCTAAAAATAGGAATAGAATGGACATGATGGAACTGGAATTTGGACTGATTTTTATCCATACCTTTAATTTTTGGCATACACTTTTTATCCAAAATGATTTTCACTACTTTGAGCTCTTTGAAGCTTTAATAAAAAAATATTTTCACTTTATTATTGTTCGGATCCATGTCAAAACAACAGCATTTCTGCACAGACCCATATTTCATCTAGAAGTAATACCTAACTTCCTGTGAATAAATTTGTTGTTCTAGTGATCCTATGGTTTAAAACAAACAGTCTACACACACTCTACCTCTACCACACTCTACCAAAAAATGCCAGGTTAAGACCCCATCATCCCTCCACTCCCCATGACCCCGCACCCGTCCTAGCGTCTTTTTAACTGGGATAACTGGGGTTTACCAGCAAGTTGTAAAACACGTCTGTTTTTTCTGATTCCTGCTGGTTCCTGTCTGACAAAATGAACAAGTTGCGCAAAAATTCATTACGTCAACATTGCGCCCTCGACACCATGACAAGCAACTGTCCAATCAGGGCAAAGGTGCTGTTCACGTGTTAACTTGTTTTGGAAGCTCAACTAACTAAATACTCCATGCATGTTGAAACCAGGTCCTCCAGGTCCTCCAGGTATCCCAGCTTACCCTGGAACCAGGGTCTAGTTACTAATAAAAAACTTACATTATTGTAGATTTGCAACAGAGTTACTGCCAAAAAACATCATTATTCTTTGTTTTAAGATATTGGAAGTGGCCCATCCAGTTTTCTAAATGGCCCCTAAATTTCAGATTGGTGGGCCCTTTGACCCCATGAAAGAAATTCCTGGTCAGAACACTGGGCCTCCATTCTTTATTTCATAGTTCCTCTCTAGCAACATAAATAAACAAATAAATGTGCTAAGTTTGAAAACAAAAATTCAACAAAAATCGCACAAGTTGGAATTATCGATCGAATAAATTATCTCAAAACAAACTCATAAGTGATTGGTTCCATTAAATAAAAATATGTCAAGAATATGTCAAAAATTCATCAAAAATTTGTTCAAGTGACTATGGTACGGCATGTCACACTGTAAGACACTTTAGACTTCAATATTGACCCTGAAACAATAAGAACGCTTTATAATTATTATTCCAAACAAAAAGTTTCAATGATAAGAACCTAAGCTTGACAAGAAATGAATTAAGAATGAATGTATGTAATGACATGAATGGTTTTAGGAGATATTTTTGAAGAGAAAAATCAGTTCAAGGTTTGTCATCTTAGCCGCCGGGTATGTGATTCCAAGCCGATTGCAGTTGTTTGGATGCTCGATGTTCTAGCTCAATCAATCGCGTTTGAATAAAAGTTATCAAATTAAATATCCACCACTTAGCACTAGTTTGCAGCAACTAACAGCCCTTATGGTCAAAGGCCCTCTTTTCTCATTTAGTTCTTGGATTTTTTGGCAGTCAGGAACCAAAACAATCCTCAGTCGTTAGAGGGTTGTCCYGGGGGGGGTGGGGTACTCCCATATATGGACTATACGGTGATGATCCGCTGAACAGGGTATAGTTTTTCGAGCTTCTTGTCATAAACAGGGTATGCAATTTCACTCAAGTTCCAAGTTCTTCCTGAGCTTCCTGTCATATTCAAGGTTTCTACTTTCGTATTGACCGAAACTGGTTATTATGGTCGTAAAAAAACGATACGCGAGATGACATGATAATTGAAACAGGAACTCAGTGCAATAAATTATATCTTTTGTCATAAACAGGGTCTACAAATTTGAGTTTTTTTATCATAAACAGGGTACCCCTTTTAGAATCCCAGTGGAACACCCCTACCCAAATTCTGGCGGAGTACCAGTCGGAGGGTTGTCAGTGAAGCTAACTTGGCCCCCAACTAGTTTTATCGACATAAATGGCAGAGACTTCACCGTACAAGTATGTAGAGAATTTCTACACAGTATAGATATAGGAAATCACCAACGGCAAGAAATCCACACCAAACCAGTGAGACAGATTTGGCATTCATAATACTTTCTCGCCAGGAGGTGTTCACACAACAACGGTCACATGCAAACGAAGTGTAATGAAACTTTTGACCCACAATGCTTCACGTGACTTGATTACCCCTTTGACTCCCAAGTATTATGGGGTGTTTTCTGCCATACGCTTTTTGATTTACACATAGGATAAAAAACCACCTATGCCACAGGGAGCCCGGCTTGGTGATGCTAAATCAGTAAAACGATCACGTTTCATATGTTGATGACATTACATAATGCTCGTAACTCAATACATGGTCACTACGTAATAGAACACCAGTGTTTGTAACGCGTAACTTAATACAGTGATAAATTCAAATTCAAATACATAACGCACGCGTTAAGAAGAGAGAAAGGAGAGAAGGGCTGAAACAAGCGAGGTTTATTCATTGTATGTGCGCCAGCAGTTGATGGGACACTTAATTTATTCATAACCAGCATGACATCGAACGTGTACTCAAATGTACAAGTTTCGAGTTCGTGAACTTCGAGGACAGGCTACTTGAAAACATTGAAGTTGGCTCTGAAAAAATATCAATCGCCGAAACATACGAAGAGCTACCGGCTTATGGTTCAGGATAAAGAAAATATAGACAATAATAACAGAGAACTCGGACGTCTCCTAAAAACTGTCTTTCCTTCAGCAACTAGAGTCAAAGTCACTTCTGGAAAAAAGTGGGGAAAAATATTTCTACCTGTCAAGATCTTTTGTTGTTTTCATTGAAAAATGGCAGATCAGGATAGGTTAATCATAAACATGTCCCATCAACTGCTGGCGSACATAACTTTAAACCAGGCTTGCCCAAATTGCCGAAAATATCATGAGAACTGCTCACAAGTTATGAAATCAATGCTCCTTCGTTTGGTTTAAGGTGGCTGCCTACTTTTGAACGTTCGAATTGAGCCCACGATGAGCGCGCCCTCAAAAACCGCTGAAAAATCTACAAGATTTTTATTGAAGAACCATATGCGTTTCGAGCTTCAACAGGGCAAAACCCTCAAATTTTGCACGGGACTCTATTTTTTAATAGCTCTTTAATAAACTCCTAAATATCTAGGTCATATCAACATTTTAGAAAAAGTTTAAATCAGTAACACATGAAAAAATAGATTTTTGTAGGGATTTTTGTTCGACTTTATGAGATTTTTTAAGAGAACCAAAACTACAAAATTTGACAAATCAATGTATTTTTTTGTATTTTTGTCGAAAATATCCATGTATTATTGTAGAATGATTGACTAGCCTTCATTCGTGCAATCATAGAGTCTGCAAATAACTATTATCTTATGAATCTTAATTTTTTTCTAATCACTTCCGGTGGCGCAATTTTTACTCCAAAACCTCGTGCGTAGGCTTCCATTAATTGCTGATTATCTCGAAAACGAGCTCAGGACACCCTATTTTTCTTTCCAGATTTGGAATCAGCATTAAATTTCAATTCGGAAAATCGAAGTTTTAAAAAAAGTTTAAATCAATTTCCAAAAGTAGGCAGTCACCTTAATCTATACTCATTCGCTTGATCCAGGTTTAAGAGCCCTAACTCTTAAACAAAACTAGAAAATCGAGGTTTTAAAAGGGCTACCATAGTTTGTTTCAGCCCTTCTCTCCTTTCTCTCTTCTTACGGGGCGTTACAAGTAGTGAACGTTTGTATAGGGGTGTATTGAATTACGATTATTATAACGTGATCGTTTTACCGATTTAGCATCACCAAGCCGGGCTCCCTGTGCCTCTGCTCGCTTAGTGTAGTACTAGTAATAGCTAAAAACATACAGTACATATATACCTTTGCCAAATGCATCCCTGGCTCTATCAAGGTTAGCTTCAAATTCATCAAGATCGTAGAACAGCCCTGCTGGCTGGGGTTGCCTTGCTTCGTAGGAGATAGATGTTGGAGACCCTAGAATACCTTTACAGATGGCAGCTTCTAAGGCAAACGGTGCTGTTTTTCCAGACATTTTATCGCTTTCTTAAATAACGAAAATCTACCTTTTAAACCCTTGGTTTTACTACTGTGGGTTTTTTGTACACTCGTACAAATATCACATGGCCAGCTAGTACTATTACGGTCAGCTAGTACTATAACGGCCAGGAGGAATAGCATTCTCGTACCCAGACCCTACTCATTAACCAAATCCCTTATCTAGATGCGCCCGCGGTCTTTTTGGCCACGCCGTATTTAGACTCTTCCACTGTCCCTCGCTCAGCCGCTGCTTTTACAGAGCGTAGCGGCCGTTCGAGGGGCTTTAGAAGAGTCTACGCCATTTTGCGACATTCTGAAATCCCGCGAAATTTTGCGAAAAATAAAATTGTTGCGAAAATATGACGCAAAAATTAATATTCTTATTGAGACAATAACGGATTTACTACCACTTTAACAATAATGGTAGTAATAACGAAGTAATGACCAAATGCAAGGAAAAAAGACGCTACTGAGGACCAAATGCCGGCGCCTATCGTATCCAGATTAAACACTGAATAATAAGTAATGACCGTATCCGGATATTTTTGAATCCGCAACTTTTTTATACGGATTCGAAAACCCACATGAGGCCGTAAAATTCCATGTAGTGAGTTTGAAATATTCAGCTATTTACACTCCTTACTATGCAATGCGGTGCTTTTTAGTTGCACACCACGAAGGCTGGTTAGTTGTAGGCGGTTAGTTGTCACGATTAAAAAAACCTTCCTATACACTTATTTCAATAAAGTTAGTCGCCTGAAAAACTACAAAGCTGAGACCAACAAGGATTATGGGTAGTTACATTTTACATGTTTCAACTGCTTTGATAACTGTTGATGGATATTAGATCTTTTACCAGTTACAGTCTCACCTCTTCTGAGCATCCTCAAGCTTTAAATTGTATTGAAAGTTTTACTTGTTTGATGTTAAAAGTTTCCCATGATTCTCAGTGATCTCAGCTTTCTAGGTTTTTTGGTGACTAACTTTAATGAAATAAGTGTATATCACCCTGCTTGCAGAAGTCTTTTTTTCTGACTTTTGTTTTGGGAAGTAGAGGCAATCAGAAACCTGGGCGGTACGAGAACGGTAATACACTCTTTGCTAATTGAATTTTTCTCTCGTTCCAGTTCCAGTTCCCAAAATATTAGAAATGTCTTGAATTAATGAGACACATGGCCGTGCCACACCATTTTGCCTCCTGAATAAACTGGAACGAGAAAAACTTGGATTAGCAAAATTGTAGAGTATATCCAATGTTCCTGTTGCCATGGACACACCCTATGACCCAGGCACAAAAAATAATAAAGAAATTTCAAATTCTTTGGTCAGACAAGAGTGCCCATTATGATCTAAATTATTCTTCTCATTTTTTTTACCTATATATCAAGTTTTATTTCATGTTTCATGGTTTTCTGATGTTTTAATTAAGGCGATTTTAGGGGGTTTTAACCTCCTCTAGCTCTATTTACATATCAGCTGTCAAGTATTCCAGGAGCTATCTCCCTGATTATTTGCATTATTGGATGCCTTAGCCTTAAATCACCATATGAATGAGGTGGAACCAAAGTACTGATCATGGACAGGGACTGATTTTCTTTGTTTAGATAGTATGGATATGAATTGAGTACGAAAGCCAGGGTTATTCCCGGAGATGGTGGGCACCAGCTATCGCCAGCCCTCCTGTCTTGGGCAGGCAATCAATGTTGCGAGAACGACGCAATTTGTTGAAGTAGAAAACGATCCTACTTCAGCAACATTGCCTGCAAATATTGTGCGCAATGTTGCACCGTATGTCCCGCCTTAAATATGGCCCATTTACATGACAACTGATTTGACCTCATCCCTTACACATGACACTTCTTCGAGCGCCACACACACAAAAACACGATCCAATCAATTATTCACCGCTAAAATTAGATTTGCACTATACATCTGCTCTTCTGCCCTTCATATTGGTAATCCTTTGCCAGCCAAGAAATGTCTGATCAAAAGAAACTTATGATACGAAGAATAATTGATAAAATATAAATGACAGATGGTGACTTTGTCGAGACGTATGACGGTGTTTTTGGTGACGTGTCAACTGATGACCATTTGACATGCATTGCGTTACTTCATCGGTAGCCATGTGCTTTTGCCGCGGTGGGCGCAATGACACGGCAAATCTTGTTCAAGAGAATATCAAATATACAAATAAAGAGGCTATTTTGTTTGAAAGTGTTTATCAAAATTTGGATTTATTCGAGGTAGATTTGAATACTACTTTAAAGGCTGATGTAATAATAGGAATTTATAGGAAAAAATTACGTTTTCAATAAATGCAAATCAGACTGAACATTACATCATTCGTTGCGCCATTGTGGCGCAAAGTGTCTCGTTTTTGGCAAAAATCTCTTGCCATACATTTCATTGAAAACATTAAGGCTTATATATTAAAGATAGAAAAAAAATTTTTTTTAATGCTGAAAAAATAGAAGTTTTATGAGAGATTTCTTCTTTGAGCTCGATACTCGTTTAGGGGAATCCCCGAATTCGTAAATTCCGTTTGTTCAAAGCTGCCCGAGAATCCGCAAGCTGATTGGCTATCTCCAAGAATGATTTATTTATAGATCGACGTCAGTACAAAAACCGTGGTGCAATACTCCCTATATTTTCATGAGAAACTTATGTGACGGTCAGTTTTCGACCGACAAGCGAGAGAGAAGGTTGTAAAAGTAGCTCCAAGAAAAGTGATTAATTCCGACCAAAATCTGCATTGGATATTTAGAAGAAATGGTGGATATCAAAGGAAACCAAGAATTTTTCAAATTTTTAGAAGATGGCGAGAATCATTTTCTTGGTGGCGACTGGATTTCGCAGTATGACACCCATGATAATGCCGATTACAACTTTGCAGAAGAAGTTCAAAGTGTGCCCGAYCTTGGGACAATTCCATTCTTAAATCAGTCAAACTACTCTACAATTGGGTCTGCGCCTGGATGGATGTCTGAGAACTTTCAAAACAGTGGCAACTTTACGATGACAGGAGAGAGTGGAGATGCGCAGGTTGGTAAAATGGAGATCCCAGAATACAGCCCTGCACCTTCTACCAGCAGCTCTTTTTTTGCCTACAGCGAAGCAGAAAATAGACCCGAACCAAGAGATGAGGCATACAACACGATAATTTCATCGCTTGGAATTACAGAAGAAAGGCTTCAAAAGTTTAGTGTCAAGGAACTTAACCGATTTCTAAAATCAAATGGGCTGACAAAGGAAGAGCAACAATGTGTTAAGAACCGCCGCAGGACTTTAAAAAATCGAGGCTATGCTCAGAACTGTAGAATTAAGAGGATAAATATCAAAAAGTCTTTGGAGGTTCAAAATAATGACCTGCTACAAGAGTTAGGCCAGCTGAGGGCTGAGCTGGAAAAGGCAAAGAAAGAGAAGAGTTTCTACAAGTCCAAACTGGTACAACTCGCCAAATATTTGAAGGATCATAAATAAGTAAAGGTGGCATAAACTAAAATCATGAAAACACGTTGTAAGTACTGTAGTACAAAACGTACACTCAACTATTAAACACCACGCTCAGATGACAGCGCACGCTGTCAGTCCGTAATGGAACACAACGTCTAAGGAAACCGTTCAACTGTTGGATTGCCAGGTTCCCATAAAATTTTATTTGCACTATGAACAGCTTTACTGAACGATTTTTAATCTTCTAGTTTTTAAGTTCATGTTTGTAAATATTAGTTTGCCGCGCTCGGGAGAACGTAGCCTGAACGTAATCAGAACGTTGGTTAGAAGAGATATTGYGTGACACGACATGCTTGAACATGCCCATGAAAAACAAAGGTACTAAAATATTCATGTAATCCTGAACCTGTTGCCCAAACTTGTCATCTTGTGATGATCGCACGCTTACGTATTCTTGTTATATGAAAAAAGATTTTGAAGCGAAGGCCTAAAAAAATACAAAAATATCATAAGAAAGTGAATCATCCACAAAAAGTATCAGTGATGGAAGGACATTGTTTATTATATTTGATGCCTGACAAGTTGGCCTCAATCATGCATGCTGACTTGTATACCAAAAAAAAATGTATGTAGTTATTACTTTAAATGCAATCGCTTTGAAAAAAAGCTATATGTTTTGTGGGGTATTTATATAAGTTTATCACCGTTGAAATAAAACGTTTTGAAAACCATTCGTGTTGTTGTGCTTAGTAACGTCAGGTTTAATTTTAGACCATGTGATCATAAACTTAAAGTAAAGACATCTTGATTGATTCAACATGACGTTTCATCGTACGTGCTGTGTATATGGCTGTGTATGTATGTAAACCACTTGGACTTGCCCAAGCAAAGTTGTATCACAGTCAAAGTAAACAAAAGAAAATAATGGAATTGGTGTCTGATACTATATATTATGCTAATTGATTTTTCACGGGACGAGTAAGACCACTTTCGTTGCATTTGAATTTAGAAGCGTTTTTTTATTAGATTGATTTACCTTGGCCCGTGAAACAAAGTCGTAAAACTAATGACTGACAGTCTAAGTAAAATCAAAAGAAAACAATGGAATTTGTGTCTACTATTATGTATTACGTTGATTATTCTTTCACTGGCGAAGTAATTTCACTCTATAATGTCATCATCGCAAGTACTCTACTATATTCAGATTATGTATAGTCTCATATGCAAAGCTGGAAAATAATAATCTAAAGATCTAGGGAATCTTCCCGTACGAAAACGAAAATGCAGTCACTGTCAGTCTAGAAAAAAAAATTACGTCTGATCGCGCGTGACTGACGGTATGATTACTGTCCTGAATTTGGGGAAGTCCCTTTTTCAATGGACTCTCTTTTGTGCAAAGTTGCACATTATTAGCAGTTTGACACCTTAATTTGATTGGATGGTCCAAAGAATTTGGTTAGTTTGCCTCAGTTTTCCTTTAGACTCAAGGACATGTAATGAGTCGAGTGGGTTTTCCCAGACAATTTTAAAAATAAAGTGGTTCAATAAAAGTAGACCGCCATGATGTTTTTTCTTAGAAAACTTAAACGAAATTAAATTTCAAATGCATTACCAGTTAAATCTGGGGTTTAATAAACTAAAAGTAGCACCGAAAATAGTTTTGGCAAGCTGAAGTCACAGGTGACTAGTTTTTTTCTCGAGAATCTCAGGAACTGAGTGAAAGCGGTCGAAACTAATTTTTTCTAGATCACTATCCCACTGAGTTCAGTTCAGAGTAGACAGCAATTTTCAAGTAGATAAATAAAGATAGATAAGAACGTAATGCACATCTGTCCGTGATGATCCCGGTCCTGACTGGGAGAAAAAGATGCGTCAGTTCACAATACCAATGGATGGATGGACAGAAAGAGGTGAAGAAAGAACAGAAAGAGGACAACGACTTCGTAACATGCGCCTTTGACAACCCGGGCTTGACAAGGTGAGGAGGCAATGCAACAAAAAGGTGAAGGTGGCACCAATTTACATCAAGCAGAAGTTACATTTTGGTATGGGTTGTTTACGTAACATCAACTTATATCTGCGCCTCCTTCTCCATTAAATCATGACCACAGAAGACACAATATTATTGTCTGCTTTCCAAATTAGTAGCCTCAGTCTTGAGCGCAGCTGAAGTAGGTAGCGCCAGGAGGGAGACTGCGTAAGAGACTTTGCTTTGTGGAATGTAGAGACAATGACGCTATAGTGTTTCAGACTTGAGAAGACATTCAATATTCTTATCTTCTTTTCCTTCCACAATTATTAGGAGACCAGAGAAAAAAATTCATTCAAGTGTATATAATCAGCAAGTATGTCAAGCTATCTAGACACTTCAAGTCATGAATCATCGCGTAGAAGAACGACAGAAAGCCAAAAAGATCTTCCTGAAGTCCAGGAGGAACTCAAATTTGACGAGGTATTAAGAGCCATATATTTTAATAATACGGCCCCAATGCTTTGAATGCAAACACTTGGATGACTCAACTTTCATTAAGAAATTCAACTTTCATCAAAAAGATAAAGAACAAGTTTTTGCATCACAATCCATTATGCCATTTCAAATTGGTCGTGATCGTCCGTGTTTTCACGCAGACACCGATTCCGACACTCATCACAGGATCATTGCATGATGCTAACGGCCGAAACCAAGCCTATAATATGTGTATGAAGTAAGCAAGGCCTTCATCGATAACAATAGTTTTTTTCCCTTCTATCGGTTAGTCCTGCATATATAAATGCTCCATTCATCTTGTATGCCAGCCGAAGGGGGGAGGTAGGTGAAATTCAGGGGGGACCTGAAAATTATTTTCAATGGTTGCATATCAACTTTTTTTAATAACAAGGGAGCAGACCAAAATCTTAAGATCGTTGATGAGTGGCATTTATAAAGAATGAAAGGGTTCTACAGTTATTTAATTATATAAATCAGAGATGCATAACAAATGTTCCATTTTTGTTGTTCCTTCTAGGATAATGTATCATCCAGAAATTGGTTCACATTTATGTTTTCCTGTCCAATACAAAAGCACATGTCAACAATAGAGGTGTTCACATTTTGGTCAGCCATTCTGGTGTACTTTCCGATTGGAGTTTTGTCCATGCTTGATGCAAAAACTCCCTCCATGATATTTAGAATTCAAAGTGGAAAATATAGTGATGGAATAGCAAGAATATCAGGAATGCAAACTGCAGTTGTGGCATTTCTTCACATTATTTTCTCAAGAGCAAGTCCCTGCATCTCATCCAACTGTATCATCCTCGCAACTGTATTTGAAAGAATTGTGATTGTGAATAGTTTATTATTCTTAATACTTTGGCAGCAGCTTGTTCCAGTTCAGTTTTTGTTATCTGTCATGATAATGGACACAGGCCTGTCAATCATCATCACTGTATTGTGGTTTCATGAATCTGAAGTTGCTTCTATAGGAAAGTTTTTCAGTAACATAATCCAAGTAATGTCACTTGATGAGCCTTCATCACATTATTCTTCCAGGGCTGTTCAGATGCTAGGTCTTGTACAACTGTTTCTTGGATCTCTCATGGTTGCACTCCCAAACCTAATCAATCAGCTTTTATACCTCAATGCCAATGATTTAGATGGTCATTCTCAAGGTTTGTTGTCAGTTTGCCACATGACGACAGCTGTAGTTGGTTGTATTCACTTCTTTTCTGGGGGAGCTGACAGCAAGGCATATAATATTGCTTCCATATTTTATCGTGTGGTTCTTAGTATTCCTTTCCTTGTTGTCTTAGGGATGCTGAATCAGATTCCATTTACCTTAATGGGATACTTTGTATGTCTTGATGCTATCAGTCTTTTAGTTGTTTCTCTTTCCCTTTGTTTTGATACAAATTAAACTACCGCTGACTGAACAGTTACTACATTTTTCAATTGATCTGCAAGGAGCAAGGAGTTGTACTCATGGCGAATCTTCTAAACCATGGAATATTAATGCTAGAACTTAATTAATGGGAGATTCATATATATCACATTTCACATGGTCTCAATGTGCTTTATATTTATGACCAGTGGAGGACTTTATGGGCTGTACATTAAGGTGTTATTAGCGACCATGCAGCTTACAATCATGAGTGAATCATTAGTAGATTAGTGTCATGCCTCCAAATTGGGGTATGCTGTTGAACCAGGAGACAATCCACAGAACTCAATTCTTTCCAGAAAAATGATTCTATTTGGAGCCAAATTTGCATCCGGTTGAAAAAAAAATGCTGAAATGCCAAAACTTGTTTTCCAGGACAGAACAGAAGCCCTTAGCTATTGACTAATAATGTATGTTGGTATCCATAAAATAGAAACTGCAAGGTTCTAAGCCTGATATGAAAATCAAGATAGAGTTTTAAAATATTCCATGCTAAGTATAGAAAAAATCATTTCAATAGTTTTCAAATGATGACAAATTTACAGTGTGACTACACCAACCAAGGCCACCCAGATAAATTTTCATACAAACTAGCCAATCACGATTTATGGGAAGCATGGGTGGCATAGCGGTGTGAGTGCTTGCCTCTCATCAATGCTCGAGTGCGAGCTCGAGTCCCGCCGGGATCAGTATTGTATATGAGTAGAGTTGTTTGTTGGTTCTCTCCTGTGCTTCGAGGGTTTTTCGGGTTCTCCGGTTTTCCTCCCTTGGCAAAAATCAACTCCTAAATTCCAATTCGATCACGGAATGAGGGTCACAGGTTTGTTAGCCACTGGCTATTAAGTGCTACCCTCATATAACAAGGACTGTTTAGTATTTAAATGATAGAATCTGTACACATTTTCATGATTTTCCTTTAAAAGCATATATTTTACTTCATATGAGTGTGTGATGATCAGAAGTGGTCAAAAAACAGTTTAAATAAACCAGAATTCATCAATTTGCCAATTTGGTGTCAAGTGATTTGTGAATTTGCTTTCAAATTTGTTTGGGTGGCCTTGGTTAATGTAGTCGCACTGTAAATTGTCATCATTTAAAAAACTATTTCTTTAACTATTTTGAATTTGATCTATTCTAATAATTATAATTTAAAAAGTTAAAGTAAGAAATGCCAATAAAACGTTTGTGTCTATCTAAGTTTAGCTTCTGTTAATACCTTACACATGGGAATAAATAGAACACAAGGTTTTGTTTATGCAAATGATGCAAGTACAGGCAGAATAATAATGTATAAGCACAAGTGCAGATAGTATTCTTATTTTAAATTCAATCACTGTTTAATAATTATTGTTCTACCGAAACAAAGGGTTAATTATTATAACAGTTTAACTGTTCAAGATCATTCACAATCATGTTAGCTGTGTTTGTGTTGCATTACTAGTGAAAACCAGGCCTTAAAGGAAAATACTCCTCAAAACGTACAAGAAATCGTAAAGGTAAGCAAAATGCAAAATACTGTAAATATTTCAAATTTGATCGTACCTAATCACCATATCCCATGAAAAAAATATGCCCAAAATGTAGAAAAAGAAAGATATATGTCACAGAATAAAAGTACACAAAATATCTGCAGCGTAGGTAAGGTTAACGAAAGGTGCCGGACATTCCGTCGATCCCGAAGTCCTCGGTTCCAGTTAAAATTTCCGCGCTGAATCCAAACATTATAGGTGATTGACACGTTATTGTTGCAAGCAATACGTCCACTACTTCTCGCTGCACAAGACACGAGATCTTAACGATCCATCCAGCAAAATGAATTTGTACGAAGATTCAGTTATTGATGATTTATTGGTAAGGGGAGAGCAAGCAAGACAGAAAAGATCGCACAAAAGACGACGGTTAAAGCCTGATGAAGTGCCTGATAACACTAATCTCAGGTTAGAGACACAACCACAACAGGTATAATTTGAATTTCGTTTTTCATGTACATTGATTTATCGAAATCGACACTTTCACGATAGATCTAACGACCCGGTAAAAAGAGTTACTTTGAAAAACTTTGGTCTTTTCCTTCCATTTTCTAAACCCCATACTTTGGATTTTTTTCGTCGAAATTTGAATGAATCTACTAACTTCTGTTGTAGTTCCTGTTTGTATCGGTGCAACAACACTTTTGAAAGGCTTTTGCGGTTTTCGATTTTACACGGTTTCTAATAATTTGGTTCCAATTTGAACATCCTTTACAACACCTCCTCCGGTGATCTGCTTCCAGAATATTTGGGCGACTTCATAACATAAGGACCTATGAAACGAAAGACTGAAAATTCGATCATGAAAAAAACGGTCAAGCACATGTTATCGTTAGGGTAGATTATTCCTCAATCATAATGCCCTTTGCGTTACAATATTTCAAGGTCGATGGTTTTTAACGCGGTAATATAACAGGCGGTTGGCTGGCTATATAATATGACACAATTTTAAAATAAATTAAATACATTTGTTATAAACTAAGCGGTATATTTCGTAGGCGGCAGTTCAAGCACCCAATTTCTAAGTGAATTTTAATTAAGGTTGGAGCGGAATTATGAAGTTTCGTATTAAACAATACCGTATAACAAAATGTATTTTGGTAAATGTGTATTGGAAATGCTTAAAAAGAAATTCAATGCGTATTGGAAATGCTTAAAAAGAAATTTAATGCGGTCGTTCACATTTGGTTGGAACTTAATTTTAAGAAAGATGAAAATTAGAAATTTTTAAACTATTTGTACTGATTGGCATTTATTTTAGGAAATAAATACCTTTCCAAAACATTTTTTCAGTTTTATTACTTTTAAAGGAGTTAAGATAATATTACCGGATTCTAAAATGTTTGCATGCAAGCCCACCTTATTTCAGCTGTTTACATATATTTTTTCAATCATACCAAAATGACAAGGGAAATAGAATTAAATGTGGTTGCTTGGTAACCAACTGCGATATAATATTCTTAATGATCTAAATTTTCCCCTTGAGCAAATGCTAGAGAAGATATGTTTTTGTTTTCTTTTGACTAAAATATAATATATTTGCCTACAAGAAACAGAAATATGGAAAGAAAGAGTAAAAACAATTTTACAGCATGGTTTTCACTATGACATAAGCATAAGCATAAGAACACGTCCTCACTTTGATATAAGGCAACATAAGCACAAGCAGATCAAGCATAAAAAGAAGGGAATTGCTTTGATCCTTGTACTCATGGTTATGCTTCTGCCTATGTCACAGTAAGGACGTCAACAGAGAAATAAGTGGGCTTGATACACTTATGTCTGTGTTTATGCTTATGTCACTAGTGAAAACCACGCTTACTTTACCACCATGTTGCTTCATTCTTTCTTTGCGCACTGCATTCACTGCTCAGCTGGTAATTACAATTGTTTTATTCTTTAGGATACATCTTCCAGTAACTGGTTCAAGGAGATGATATCATATCCCTGCACTAAAAGGCTTTCACTGATGGAATCCTTCACACTTTGGTCAGCAATTCTTTTATATCTCCCAATTGGCTTGTTTGTGCTGCTAAACCCTGGAAACAGTCTCATTCCAGTCATGAAAGACAACAATATCTACACAACAGGCTACCAAAGGATTTGTGGAATCCACACCATCATTGTTGCTTTTCTCTGCGTTATTTTCTCCAGAGCAATAGGGAGTAATTCCATCAAAGGTGTCATCTTAGGCACAATACTAATAAGAACAGTCTATGCAAGTGCCTGCTTGTATTTGTTATATATACGCCAGTATATTCCCATCTCGATTTTGTATATCACTTTAGCAATAGATGCTGGCCTCTCATTTATTACTTTTATATTATGGTTCTATCAGAATCCAGAGGCATCTTTGAAACAGTATTTCAAAGCCATTTGGCAGCTGATCAATCCCTCAAGCTGTCCATTACATTCTTCTTCAAATGTGGTTCAAGTCCTTGGTTTTATCCAATGTATTTTGGGAATGTTTTTCTTTATTTTCCCCAATATAGCACTCCTAGTATTTCAGATCAACCCTAAAAACATCCATGGATACTCCAAAGGATGGCTATCCATCGGGTTTATGTCTTCAGCGGCAATAGGTTTCATTCATGCTCTTTCTGGTGGTGTTGACAGCAAGTCATATAATATTGCTGTGATTTCCTATAGAATCATATACAGCATCCCTGTAGTGACATGCTTAGGTTTGTGGGGACAAATACCAAGTGCTTTAGGACTTTACTATGTTTCTCTTGATGGAATTTGTGCTTTTGTAACTTTTATAGTACTTTATAGAGAGTCTTTAACTTCTAGTCAAAAAATAAACATGAACTAGTAGACTATTACAAGTCGTGCATTCTGTCAGATTACCTAAGCTACAATATAGATACATAAATATAATATAAGTTGAACACAGTATAAAAAGGTATGCTGTTTTGGACATTGGTCCTTTATTATGCCTGAATATTCTAAAAGATAAAACAAAAACTAGCATTTTACTTACTATCATTTTGCCTATAAGGTTTTGGTGAAATTTTTAAGGTTTCAGCTATTTACTATTTATACTAAAACAATGCACTATTGGGCCGCTATGGCTTATAAGATTAATAATGATTATGATAGGAAATGTTTTAATATCTAAGAGAGAAATGTTTTAAAAATATATATAAAGAGGAGGCCTTTAAAAGTTTATAAGTAAGATATATATTATTATTGATAATATAAAAGTTGAGAAATATTATTCGTATTTTAAGTATATTTTGTAGATTTTTAGTATTTATAAGATTGTGATGTTATATTAAACTGTTGAAATGTAGAATTTGTTTACCACGTTTTTCCCTTCTCTTTTCTTCCTTCCATTAACCCACTGGAGTTTCAGAATGCATTGCATCATGGGCTGCTTTATGGGACACTTTAAGGTTACTGTCAACCTTCGCTGGGTACTCTCAATTAAAAATTGTTTTGCAAATCTTGTTACAGTAAAGGTTAACAAACTATTTACCTGTTACCTATTGTCCTCCCTCCTCATGGCACATAGGGCCTTCACATAGGGCCTAACAAACTATAGATCATTTCAAAGCTTATAAACCAGAGAAATGTGATAATCCAAGTTTTACCTAGACAAAATGTTATCTTTGACAAATACAAGCAGGTTCAGGGCTTATTGATTAAAACTTTCATTTCTCAATGCATAAAATGTCAACTAACTAATGAAGCATCCAAGAAACAAAGCCTGATAATGCATTATATTTCTACAACTCTGGAAAGGCTTCCTTTACCACGATGCTGAAGGGCATCAAAATCACTTTTGTATAATACCTCTAAAGAAGAGATAGCTAGCCAGAAACTAGTGTGAGCTGCATCGGTGTTTCTAATGAAACAGTATTGATAAAAGGTTACTCTGATGAAGGACTAGCGTCCAAAATGTAAGTTTTTTCATCTTTTCACAGAGCAAAATTTACCCTTTTATCATTACTATTACTTCTAAAGTAAATTTTTGGAAACCCAACCGTATTTCTTGAAACTCTACCCATTATTATAAAACTAATTTCCAGAGGCAGAATATCCTACCCGAAAAAAAATTAAACCCCCTCCCCCCCATCTTCCCCCGCTCCCTTGGAAACGCCCTTAACGCTAAAAGGCCTCATACAAATATAACATATTGGTAAAGCTTTTGTTTCTGGGCTTTAATATTTCAAGGACAAAACAATGAATTTCATTTCTCAAAAGGTCATAATTCTATTGCTTTCGCCTTCAAACGGGTTTAGGTCCACTGGGAATTCCTTCATGTGAAGGCCCTATTCTCACAAATAAATCACAATTGATTGAAACAACGATTCGTCACAGATTATATTGAAAAATAATCTTACCTGGTCAACAGTTTTTATTCCTTCAGCTTCATTTTCCACCAGTTTTGAAGATACTCCGTGTAAAATACGCTTATTCCAAAAATGGATATTCTTTTAGTCATCCTTCCTTTGGTCAGATTTAATAAGCTTCGAGCGAGACTTTTCCACTTACTATTCAACATTTCTCCTAGTTCATCCTGTCGATATTTCTTCTTGAAAGCGAATAAAAATGGCGTGGACTAAGGAAAAATATCAGCTGAAGTAAAGAAAAATGGCTGCCTTAGAACACCAACTTTACGAGAATCAAACTTGGTCAGTGGCGGGAAAATCGTGATGCGGAACGCGCGCGTGCCAGCGTGGCTTGCCTTTTTTCGAGCAGAGACTGGTATCTAGACAGACCAGCACGATTACTTCCGTTTTATATATGATTGACAAGTAGCCTTGAAACACACATTGGGTGGGGTTAATACAAGTAATTTTGAATAAAGGTCCTCATATATCTCTATGACTCTGACAGCCATAATTTATGACTTTAAAAAGTAAGTATGTAGACCGCTGTAACTAGAAGACCACGCTCCCAAGCAGACCGGCTCTTGGACTATGGTTTACTGGAAATGCTATGTATTTCCAGCGTTCTGGGAATATTTTGGACAAACAACATCTCAATCGAGTTAAAAATTTATTTCTCTTATACAGTTCTTACTATCAATTTTTAAAAAAGTTATACTTTTTCAAATTCTTATTGTAAAGCGCATTGAGTTTTAAGGAATGTGCTATATAAGAATATTGGTTATTATTGGTTATTCCTAATTTATCTTAATCATAATTCAGTCCCCCTTCGATACCGTTAGATTTGTGTTATCACGCACCCCGCAACCGATATTCCCTATACCTGAGTTTCTTCCATTTACTTGACGCATTATCTACGGTCATCTAAATTTGAAGAAAGTAAGTCGTAGGCAAGACCCTTGATACCATAAGTCATGAGTTTACCAACAAAATTTCATGGTCTATAGGGTACAAAGGCTTTTTTGAGATCAAGGAAGACACTCAAGTTATACAGCATTTCATTCGTAGCTTCAAGAGCCGTTTTAACATTGCGCTGAATGGACATACAGTTTAGAATGCAGTGTCGAAGTTTTCCGCCTCTTTGGCCTGATTTTTGTCATCTCTTTTGTCCGAATCCTGATTTACATCTTGCTTTTTGTCTTCTTCATTGTCGACATAGCCAAGATTCGTTTTCTTATCCTCTTTCTCTGCTTCTTCATTCCTCTCTTCATAGCTGGGTTTCTTCATCTCCTCCATAGCAACTAAATTTCAAAAAGATTATAACTTTATTCTTAATCTTTACACATATATTATTTTCTCTATTCTTGATGCAAGATTGTTTATTTTATATCTACTATATTTTTAACTACTTCCATCATAATTATTAGTGATTCAATAATTATCATAATTAATACATTAATAATAATTAATAGTATACCTGTTGGAGGGTGAACTTTATCGTCTCCAATCACTTCCAGGGTTGGTTTTCCATTTGTCTCTGGTAAAAACCAACAAGCAAATGATGCCAGAAAAGCAAGGCCACCCATTAGGGCGAAAGGTAGAATGGGATTGATGCGGGTCAATTGAACCACGAATGGTGCTGTTGCAGCACCAACACGGCTTACTACAGACATCAAACCCATTCCGCTATTCCTGTAAAAGAAGGATTTATTTTTTAAATGTTACATTGGAGATCCAAAAACCACCTTTCGACTTTTAAGCTATGGATCTATGAATATATATTTACTATGTTTTTATTAACCGGATATTAAATGGGGCTAACTGGGCAAACTTGAAAGATTGGGAAAATTCGAGCTGTAACGACATGCCATGTAGTATTGTCGCAGTAATATAGAAATTTGGGTAGTTTACCGGTCTGTGCTGCCTACCCCATCCGCTGTCATAAAATGGCAGTTACGTCCTTGCGATTTTAATTTAAAAATAATGAAAAATCCAATAATCACGTAATGATGATCAAGGTGCATAAAAACCTAGCTGGAAGTATGGACACTCGGGAAAGATTTAGTACCTGACCATGGTTGGAAAAAGTTCAGCTGAGAACACATAGATCGAGTTGAAGGACACTGTGATGCACATCTTTCCTAGCATGCCACCAGTGACACGCCCAACGATGTAATCTGCATGGAATCATAATATTTGTCATTTTATTTCCAGGTTGAAGGAAAAACTGGCTCGCGTTGGCATTCCAGTGCATTGTGACGATTGTTTTAGGAAGTATTCGTTCATCATGCCTTAAATGGTGCTGTTTGAAGTAACCCGAGCTATTCACCATTTTCCATACATTGGTTCACTGGTCAAACACAAACATTCAGTCGAGGTTACCAGGTTCAAATGTAAATAATATAGAGTTTTAGATTGACTTTTTTTCTCCCCGCAAACGGCAAACGTGACCACGTTTTCATCGTTTTCCTGTACTTTACTTTACCTTTTACAAAACTTCTCACTGAAGACAAATATTCTTTGGTTTTTCTACTACTTGGACTTTTTTTCGATTCTTTTTAAGCTCTTTAAAATTATTTTTAAATGGTCAACTGATGTTTCACGTTTGCCGTGAACGTAAATCTAAAACTCTCTAATCCTTTGAAAGTACTTTGGCGCCTCGCTTGAGCGCTTTGTGTTTGACCAGCGGTGAACCAATGTATGGAAAATGGTGAATACCATAATGCATTACATTATAATGAAACAAAATGTGTCTCCTAAAAGATTCCAACAGTGCAGTGAAATGTCAACTCGACCCAGTTTTTCCTCGACCTCGTAAAGGTTTATTTGTATATGGATACAACACAAACAAAGAATGTAATTCTCATGAGAATGACGAGTGGTCTGAAATGAAGAAAACATTACCACTAAGGTAAAGAGGTATATTGTGCGTTCCCACTGAAAACACCCCACACAGTCTTGGATGCAGTAGTCCATCAGAGGTCTCTACACTCCGGGAGCAGTGATCGTGAGGCACTGAAACTCTTCCGCGCTATTCCATTAACCCAATACAGCCGTGAGCTTATCATTTGTGCCAAGCCTCCCTATATGAGTGAGGAGAGGATCGCAGGCGCACCGAAACCATCGCGGTTGGAAATCGAGCCTAATTACCCATGCCATCCCTGCAAATAACTCGTGCAAATAACTCGTGCAAATGAAAAAAATTAAAATGATCAAACTTACAGATATCATCGGTGCCGCTAGGGATGAAAGAAACAGCCACACAGGCAATGGCTCCAACCACAAAGTAAGCAATAGTGGTTTTCTTTCGACCAAACCTTTGAACGTAAAAACGATGATAAAAGATATATACAGCCATTTGCAAAAATTATGGCCGTTTCCAATGTATATATACGAGTATATCAAAAGTAAATTATGGGATATCATCCGTGATATTTTTTTCGAGTTGTCTATTCACTAGGGCTTTCCACTTTTTGCTGTATGTCAGAACCGCTACGCGTCGTGGCTTCCTACGCTCCTCTCGTGTTCTCTCAACATCCCGTGTGTTTTGATCAGAGTATCGAACACAGAAAACTTTTTAAAGATAAAGGTATTACCTGTTACAGTTGTCAATAACCAATATATTTCCTGGAATCTCTACAAGACTTATCAGGACAAAGGTCTTACCTGTTACAGTTGTCAATAACCAATATGTTTCCTGGAATCTCGACCAGACTGGTCAGGACAAAGGTCTTACCTGTTACAGTTGTCAATAACCAACATATTTGCTGGAATCTCTACCAGACTGGTCAGGACAAAGTTAAGGTAGATACTGCCACCCAATTCACCAGAGCTCATCGATACACCATAATATACCATCCCGTTCACGAACCTGTACATGGACATGCAATGGATAAATAAAATATAAGGAAGGTCTTTCGTAGGTTTTCTTAACTATGAAACAATTTCCCCTAAACCAAAAACTGCTTTCATCATTATCACCATCCTCCTCCAACCACTTATCGTTGTCATAATCATCATCACCATTATCATAGTTGTCATTATAATTATTGTTATCACCTGATCGCCGTCATCACCATCACCATCACTATCACCATCGTTATTATTTCAATCTTTATTACTACGATGATCGCCATCATCATTACCTTGTTTTTTCTAGTATACTTAACAAATTTCAGATGGTTTATCGTGATATATGGATATTCTACGAAAAAACCTCGTAAATTTGTTTTTTACTTAAAAAAAAGCACGCAAAAAGTTTGAAAGAAAAGTGGTTTCTGCCGCACGCTGGTTCCTTGCGCTAGCGATTCGTAATTCGTTGACGTAATTTGATGCTATGTCCTCTCGTTTACCACTGCTCTCGACCAATCAAAAAGCGAGATAATTCACATCTGTGGGAAAAAGTGCATTTCATACGCTTCACACTGATACAGTGCTTGGAGGGTTTACAGGCTGAAAATTCATCAATCAATGGCATCAGCGCAGCTTACCACGCATAGCATTGAAGTAGGGTCGACAAGGCAAGTCTAGACGTCCTGAACAGCTCCAAGAATCCTTTGTTGGGAGGAACAACAGGCACACGTATGTCTTCTGATGGCATATCGCGTTTGTTTACTCGAGCCACGTGTTCCAGGATTTGTTTGGCCTGATCTTTACGCCCAACGATAAGAAGCCAGCGAACAGACTCTGGGATGAACCTGAAAAATTACAAAGACATTTAAGACGCAATTACACAGGGTTATTTTCTCTGCAACTTGTCTCGTAACGGCGTTGGGACACAAGTTGCATGGAGGATTGCAGCGTGTAACCTACAGCGCAATTTGAAAAATATTGTTGCAACGGACAAGTTGAAGCAATCGCTGCAAAAAGTGGAATTCGTTTATACTTTTGGCAACGATTGTGTCTCCGTTGCATCGTGTTAACACTCTTAGTACAATTTGTGTGACAAGTTGGAGAGAAAATGTCTCCGTGTAATAATCACGTCTTTAGTTTCTAGCCACATATTTTGGCCCTTTAAACATATTACCGTCATTCCCGTTTTCGCATGACATTCACTAAAAACGCGTATGCTGCGCATGTTCAGAAAAACAGCGGAAAATAGTGGCGAACGCGTACACAAATACGTTGATGTTTTGAAGACGAAGGATGATGACAAGGGTTCGTTGCTCATTCCAAGCATATGCAGGCACAATGCATTTCCAGTTATTGGTCAATGTTGTTGTTGTTGTTGTTGTTGT